GTAACTCCCTTTCACGTTTCAAAGAGTGATTCTTAGCAAGTGAAGAATATAACAAATGATAAACATGTGACGCGTTCCATTTTGCATCTTCAAAAACATATTCGTTCATAAATCTCCGTAGTCACCAAAGGATCAATACGAACCTAGGAGATTATAATAACTATTGCTGGAATATCAATGAATCTCAACTCGATTTCCTTTGCATAAGCGCAATCCTTCAAGGTTTGTAAAATATCTATTCCACTAGGTGAATAACTTGAAATTTGCATGGGTAGGGATCGTATTTCAAGAGTGATAAACAACCATATGTTAATTATTTAGATTTGTGATCTGTGAAATTAATAGTTTATGTAATTACTGTGTGTTGTGTCTTCTTTTCTTGTCTCAAGTTGTGCACTGTATTGCTAATGTTATGCTGTGATTTTTTTTTGTTTGACAATTTTATCTATAATTTTGAGTTTTGCTGGCTATAAAAAAATGATTGGGTTTTGTTAAATGGTCAAACTCATTAACCCATGGATCTTGTTTTTGTAGCTATTTCGTAAGTGCTTCAGTTCACCTCAATACCAAAACTCTTGTCTACCTAGTCATATCAAGGATGCAAACCTTGAAATAAACTTGTGAGTTGATTTTGTACATTAATTTTCTTTTTTCTTTTTATATATTGAACATTTATTCTGTGTAAAATGAGATTATTTTGTTTGTTAATAGTGTTTGATGTTTTACATATTTTGTAAAATTATAATTTCTTGCAGTACTACTTGAAAAGACACAAGGTTATACTCAAGTTTTCTGTGGAAGATTGATTCAGCAAAAGATAGGTATGTGAAAGATGCGGTAAATAACGTTTGTCTCATTTATGGAAAAAAAATCCACATACAGATTCAAATCTCTGAATTTCTCAACCAGCTCCAACTCCTTTACCATCAGACTAGACATGTGAATGGACTTCCTACTCAAAGCATCTGCCACTACATTGGCCTTCCTAGGGTGATACATCAACTGAAATTCATAGTCTTTTAAAATATCCCATCCATTGTCTTTGTCTCATGTTCAGCTCCTTCTGATCAAGCAAGTACTTCAGACTCTTGTAATCACCAAATACGTTAAACCCTGCACTATAAAAATAGTGCCTCCATATCTTCAAGGCAAAAACAACTGTTGTCAACTCTAAGTCATGAGTAGGGTAATTCCTCTCATGATTCTTCAATTGCCTTAAGTATATGCAACTACTCTCCTATTCTACATCAACACACACCCCAACCCTTGGTGAGAAACATCACAACACACCTTTACAACTGCTAATTCAAGATCATGGGTTGGGTAATTCTTCTCATGTATTTTCAATTGCCTAGATGCATAAGATACGACCTTTCTTTCTTGCATACTCCACCCAAACCCATCTTAGAAGCGTAACAATAAACCACAAAAGTCTTACTAAGGTCAGGCAACACTAAAACAGGTGCACTAGTCAACTTCTCCTTAAGGGCCCGGAAACTATTCTCACATTTACTATCCCATACTAACACAACTCCTTTCCTAGTTAAACTTGTCAAGGGTAATGCTAACTTAGAGAATCCCTCTATGAATCTTCTATAGTATCCAGCCAATCCAAGGAAGCTCCTAATCTCACTAACTGACTTAGGTGTCTCCCACTTAAGCACCGCCTCAACTTTAGATGGATCTACTGATATACCCCCACTTAAAATCACATGTCTTAAAAAAAACTCACCTCCTCTAGCCAAAAGTCACACTTAGAAAACTTGGCATAAAGTTGTCTCTCCCTGAGGGTTTGAAGTACTACCTTTAAGTGTTCCTTATGCTCCTCTTTAGTCTTGGAATAAACTAGTATGTCATCTATGAAGACAACTACAAATTTATCCAAATACGGATGAAAAATTCGGTTCATGTAATCCATAAAAATTGCAGGAGCATTCATCACACCAAAAGGCATTACTAGATACTCATAGTGTCTATAACGAGTCCTAAATGTTGTCTTAGGTACATCCTCACCCTTAATTCTAATCTAATGGTACCCTGATCTAAGGTCAATTTTACTAAATACACAAGCACCCACCAACTGGTCCATAAGATCATCTATCCTAGGCAATGGATATTTATTCTTAATGGTCACCTTGTTCAACTGGCGATAATCTACACACAATCTCATACTACCATCCTTCTTCTTAACTAATAGTACGGGTGCTCCCCAAGGTGATACACTAGGCCTCACAAACCCCTTCTCCAACAAGTCTTCTATTTGTTTCTTAAATTCCACTAACTCTACGGGTAACATCCTATAAGGTGCAATAGAAATAGGTCTTGTTCCTGGTACTAAGTCTATGGAAAACTCTACTATTAATTCAAAAGACAAAGCAGAAATAGGTAATTTTAATTTGGACACACACGCATGCGATATGAAAGAGTGAGTCGCACCAGAGTCATACAAGACAATTAGAGGAGTTCCATCGATGAAACACATACCGTGGATTAAGTCTTTGGATTGAGTAGCTTCAGCACCACTCAAGGCAAACACCCTTCCCTCGCCCTAGGTTTGCTAGTGCTCCCTCCAACTTCTGTTGTTCCTTTCTTGTTCTTAGGGCATTCACAAGCTTTGTGTCCTTTCTCTTGACAATTAAAACATATTATTACTTTTGATGCCTGAAACTCATATGCCCTATGACCTGGCTCTCCACATTTGAAGTAGTTGTTGTGTGGAATAGAACCCACACTTCCCCCTTTAGAAGTTTGGCTAGTCATTGGAGCTTGACTCCTTTGTTGCAAAGAACCTTGGTTATTCACTATAGAACTCGAATCTCCAATAGACTTGGTGTAAGGCTTATCCTTACTAGATGACCCAAACTTATTATGATTCCTCATGGGTCCTCCACTCATATAATGAGTTACTCTAGCACGGTTATCCTCATCATAGACTCGACACTTGTTCACCAGATCATGATATTGAGTGATCCCTTGGTAATTGAAAACTTGTTTAATCTCAGGGCGAAGACCACTCACAAACTTCACACATTTTTACTCCTCATTGCTCACACCATCATACATAGGACAGAATCTGACCAAGTCTTCAAACTTAGTCACATACTTAGCCACAAAATTTTCTCCTTGCTTCAACTCAAGGAATTCCACATGTTTCTTCTGTCTCACATCTCGCGGAAAGTATTTCTCCAAGAATAGCTGTTTGAAATTCTCTCAATTCACTTTGGTACCTGCAGTCATCATTCTTTGCAAAGCACCTTGCCAGATGTCAGCCTTTCTAGAAAGCATGAAGGCAGCCAAAGTCACCTTCTGTATCAAAGGACATCCCATAGCTTGAAATATCTTTTCAATTTCAAAAATCCAGTCAGCAGCTCCATCAGGATTATAACCTCCACGGAAGCTTGGTGGATTATTTCGCTGGAATCTCTCTAGCCAATCTACCTCTGGTCATTGGTTCATATTACCAAGAGCCTGAGCCATCGCTTGTAGAGCATCAGCGATTGCACGTCGTCCCTACCTCCTGCCATTACTTTACTGATCCCCAGAAAAGTTAACAATTATACTCTAATTAAATAAACAACAAACTTAATCAATCATTGCACTAACATATCAACAAATTCCACAATCAATTCATTCCATCAATTATCTACCAAACAAGCATAGTAGACTCATAACTCACGGCCGATTGGATCGACCTGCTCTGATACCACTAAATGTGACACCCTTACTACCCCAACACATACATCGTAATAATGTAATTAAATTAAGAAAATAAACTTTCAAAGTTGGTAAAAGGGTTCACATAAAACTTCATAATTGTTCTTTCTTCAATATCCAAAATAACTAGAAATAAAACTTGGAAGGTAAAATTTAAGAGTTTACAAATTGTTTTCAAAAGACAAGGTTCAACTCCATATACAAATACAATTCATGTCCTAGAAATCCTCTGTCCCGATGTCACAATATCATAGCATACCCATAATTCAATTGTTGTCATTCTAGATGCCACTTAAAGCCAGATCTTCCTCACCTAAAACATCCACAAATTATACGGTGAGAAAAGAAAATATCTATATGTAAAGCACATACAAACATATCATAACTCATTACTTAATGAAATGTTTACAATCATTTCTACATATCATAATTCTATCAATCATGCATCAACTTCACATCATAATCACACCAATCCATTACAAATCTTGTAATTAACCCTATGCCAAGGTCACGCCAGTAGCATCTCTTGCTCGAGGTTGTGCCACCCCCGACATAAGCATGAGGAATCACCCATCCCATACTATGCCAAGGTCATGCCTGTAGCATCTATTTCCCAAGGTCGTGCCACCCCCGACATAAGTATTAATTGCCTCACACATCCCGTCCTATGCCAAGGTCACGCCTGTAGCATCTCTTGCCCACGGTCGTGCCACCCCCGACATAAACATGAGAAATCACACATCCTACACTATACCAAGGTCACGCCTGTAGCATCTCTTGCTTGAGGTCGTGCCACCCCCGACATAAGCATGAGGAATCACATCCACATTCACATCCACATCCACATTTACATTAACATTCCATAAATCAATTCCACAACACATACACAAAATTCACACAAAAATAGTGGTTCACATACTCCTCAAGAACTTCACCATGAATCCTCATCTAGATAATCAATTTTTTACCATATAATGTAACAATAATATTTATAAATTAATACTCAATTGAATCACCAATTTAATACAATATGAAATCAAATAGCAAGACCCCCAATTTTTCCAAAACCTAACTCAAGCACTTTTCTACGATTTCGTTCTCACTCCCAGAGCATCATTTTTACAAATTAATCATATATCCATAATCCTAAATACATACAGAATCACATAAAACCAATAATTCTCCAAACAGAAATAATTATAAAATTACTCATGATCCTAAGGGCTCTTCCTCTACCCAATTCCCTCATTAAACTTTACATATAAATAATCCCCTTTTCCCCCGTACTTGGATAAACAGTAGCTGAAACTAAGGATCTGGTTGATCTCCTCCGCTGGATTCCCCTCGGTTTGAAGTAGAAAATAGAGGGAAGGAAGAGAGAGCAAAAGAAAAGAAATTAGAAAATGAGAGGTGTGCCTTTTGGGAGCGGCAAAGAGCTCAATTTATAGGCATCAGGCTTCGCCGGAATGGCCCGTTCTAAAACTCATGTCATGTGTAAAATTTACATCCAGAACGGCCCGTTCTGGGGTTTGCATTAAAGCTCTCAACGGTCATATTTTGGAACGGCCCGTTCTGAAACCAGAACGGCCCATTCTCAATAAGGTTCAAAGACCATTTCTGAAATTCGAAACAGCCCGTTCCCAACTAAGAATCATAGGCAAATTTAATAGTTTGGAATGGCCCATGCCAAATCCAAAACGGCCCGTTTCGGGCTACCAAAAGTAGGTTTGTTTAGTAATTTGGAATGACCCATTCCAATTTTGGAACGGCCCGTTCCGGGCTAATAAACCACCTTAATTGGGCTCTTGGCCCAGTGAAAATTGGGTTGTTATACCAGAAACATCTCACTCTGACTTAGTTTAGAAATACCACCAGATAGTCAAACACAAACAAGTATATAATAAGACATAGCATGCATATCTAAATATTATCATCACAATTGATTCAATCATAGCCAAATAAACAATAACAAATAACATTGCAATACATCATGCAATGGACATAGACTACAATTTATCATGCATGTAGCGACAGTAAAAACGTCACACTTGTGCATTGTTGCTAGCAATACACATAGAATAGCCTAGGAGTACATGTCGAATCACATCCTCTACACACACTCTTACAAGGAGGAGACACTACCAGGGTTTGGTTAGAATAGATAAACTGTGCAAGATACATCCTATGTACACAAGGATAGAACTAGGATTTCCCAAACTGAGCTATCCCCAAGGTTAGTTCCCAAGCTTTTCACAAGGGACCTTTCCTAACAATTTGTTCCATATTGTACCCCCAAAGCACATTTTATGCAAATGATGTATGCTAAACAGACCCAATGCATTACATTCACATGACCTCACAGTTTCACATTTCACATATTTCTCATATCACATTACTCGTCATTCATGTTAATATATGCATATGTACGTAGATATCAATTCACCCTCACATAACCATAATACAAGACTTAAAAGATGGAAATCAAAAAAAGAATAATATAATGTTCGCAGACAAGACAACTCCCAGCGACACACGTCCCATGCCTAGTGCAAATACCACCAAGAGGTCCTTGGAATGTTCAGGCTTAACATGAGTCATCTCACGCCCAACAGAAGCGTCATAGGGAGCCCTATAGCTTTTGCATCCGACGATAGCCATCTCACACCCGATGTGAGAGACTCGAAAAACAATCCTTGCTTTTAGCTTCCATGACACCTGACGCACCTCAAGTGGCGCCTGACACTATATCAAAAAAATGCCAAGTTATGAGTCACACACTAATTCATCAAAACTCACAATTCAATCGTTCAAAGTGTTCTAAAACACATAATTAACATTCCAAAACATGCAATTTACATGTATTAACAATTATCTTCCCAAAATTATCACAATATGCTTCCTTAGGGTTTTCAATGGGAACTCAAAAAAGCCTCAAGTCATAAAATTACAAGCCAAAACATGCAATTAATCATATGTTCAAACAATTCATGTCATTAGGAACATGTAAGAAGAACAAGAGACAAAATATAAGTATTTGGGGAAAACCCTCCATGCACCGATAAATAACAAAGACGGGATTGGGGACGAATCTTGCAACCTAGCATGCAAATCCACACCCAGAGCAATGTTCCTCACTTCCTCCTTACCTTGATAAGCAAAAGAAGACAAATGTACGATCCTAGGGTGGTTTCCTTCTTGCTCTTGCTCTCTAAGCTCTGAATCATGAAAGAACATGTACATAAAAAGGGAATACATAAAATGAAAACTAATCAAAAACTTTCTTTTCAAGAAAACTTAACTCCCTTTCCTTTAATCCTTAGTCAAAACTTACTCAACCATAGTTACTAATTCTCTTACCCTCAATTAATTAAATAAAACATTTAATTAAATCACCTTATATTATATTCCAAAACATATTAAATAATTTAAAAATATAAAAAAGCTCCATTAATTGAAATAAAAATATTGAAATTATTAATTAATTACTTATATTATTTTTTATGAAAATTTGGGTATTACACATGTCCAAACATACATGCACCTACGGATGTGCATTTGCGTGCATGTGTGTTTAATGTTTTGTTTAGGAGAAGGGAAAGAACCGAAAAGAATTGAAGAAAATAAGTGATAGTTGATTCGATAGGAAATAGATTAGAAATAGTGTGAAATTTGTAATTATTTGATAGAGTGAAATCACGTGAAAAATAAAGAGAAATTGATATTTTAAAATTATATTTTATATTGTTTGATTTTTATATAGAAGTAAATTATTTAGACAATTACATTTTTATTCTTTACTAGCTATTTTCAAATATAGATTTATACAATGATGTAGGAGTAGTCTTGTCTAAATATTTTTTTTTTAAAATTCCACATAAATCCACCCATAAGAGAGTAGAATTAAATTTACATGAATCCTCCCACAATTAATATCCTATCAAATTCACTTAAATTCTTTCCTCCAAACAATTTTTTTAATTACTTGATAATACTTCCTTTTTTCTTCATTCTCTACCAAATAACCTCCGTGTACCCGAGAGGAATATATATAATTAAAAGAGTACATTTTATCAAGTTCAATATTTGATGGAACTGACTTCATTGGGAGTATCCAATTTATTTAAACGGCTAGTTTCAACTTTTCATCGTCACCACCACCCTTATATCGAACAACTTTATATAGAATAAATTAATTGGAAATATAGTATCTGTCCTTTGTTATTATATTGTGATAAAACTGTGTAGCAAGCTAAGCGGTGATCTTTCATTTTAGCTGACAAAACAAATTTTAGGATAAAAAAACAAATTAATGAAAACAAAACAAGTTGGATAAAATCATCAAAATTTTCTTTGGAATCAATTTCTATGCTACAAAATATTAGGAATCCGCATAACAAGTCCTTGGTTCTGCTTTGGAAAACCCGGAATGAATTAATCACCATATAGGATGAGGATATGAGAATCATTAAAGATAACATCATTTGTATTGATCAATTGATGGTTGTTTCTGATGGTACATATGTTTTTGTTAGGTAAAGCTCATGTTCAAATTTTGTATATTTGATCATAATAGTAAAAAAAAATTCTATTAGAATGGCTAATCCTATCATGTTATGGGTATTTCTAAATAAAAAATGTATATGTAATTTCTTAAGTGTTTTTATTAATATTATTATTTTTCAATTAAAAGGTTTCGTTTCAATAGCTAATATTTAATATAAATATTCATTACAACAAATGTTAATCTTGAATAAATATCTATTACACAAACACTATTTCTAACGTACCAAAAATATTATCAAAAGTATCT